ACAGCATAACTTAGCCTATCCTTACTGAAAAGGATTTAAAAAAAAAGACAATTTGCAAAAGAAAAAAAGAAAGCATAACCAAATCAACATATGAAAACCACATCATCTCACTTATAAATGAAAATAAGTTCCTACTTTTCACCAATCATATTAGTAATGATTTGTTAAATAATATTTAACACTGTTCAGAGTGTTCTAAGATGGATATTCTCATATTCCTTTTAGTAAACCTTTCCTGAGAGAAATATTATTTATGTATGAAGGATTTCATCGTTCTGATCATCATTCACATAATATTCTTGCTTGTAGAAATCCAGTATGGTCTCTGTTTTCATGATGATACAGCATGTGGTCTCAGGAGGAAACAAACTTCCTAAGTGGGATTCTGAGATTCGTTTGCTTATCTAGCATCTTAAATGAAGCGCTGAAACTCTTGCTAATGAAAAAAGAGGATAATGGTATCCATGTTATGCACTGGCATCATGATGCATTAAATGTCACCTGTGGTTTCTTGGGCTAAGCTAATTATTGAAAGATAGGCTGTGGCCTGGTCAGTGTGGCTCGGTGGTTGAGCGTCAGTCAACCCATGCACCAAGAGGTCACCAGTTTAATTCCCAGTCAGGGTGCATGCCCAGGTTGTGGGCCCGATCCCCAGTGGGGGGCATGCAGGAGGCGGCCAGTCGATGTTCTCTCTCATTGATGTTTCTATCTCTCTCTCTAAAATCATTAAAGAAAAAATATTAAAAAAAAATAGAAAGGTCATAATCATATGATTAATCAGCAAAGGACTAAAACTTGCAGTGAGTGGGTAGTGACCGACGGAAGATGTGGACACTGGGCATGCAGGCTAACCACAGGGGCTCTGCTAAGTCTCCCGTGTGACTCTGGCCCTCATTTTGCCCTTTGCAGCTCAGTGATTTGCCTCCAAATTGAACCAAAAGTGAATCTTGCCAACCATAAAAATAAGTCAGTTCACACATAATGGGCACCGAATAAATCCTTTTTAAATTGAACTAAGCTGACTCCAACCCACTCCCCAGGCAGTGAACCTACAGAAAAACAACAAACAAAAAGCTAGAAAGCTGTTGAGAGATAAGAATTCATTCCAAAACCCCAAATTTGTTGGAATCTTTCGAGATTCTGCATCTTGGAGGCGCAGAAGGAAAACTGAGGGGGAAGAGGGCGGGTCTGAGTTTGTTTCCAAGCGGGAGGGATGTGCGTTCTTTGGGAAGAAGAGAGGGCGGTGTTGGGAAGTGTGAGCAGGGCAATGAAGGGCCACGGGCTGCTGTGAGCGGCTCCTGGTTAGATTGTTGCAGTAAACTATTTGCAAAGCTGGCTGGATTCACTCCAGATGGCCACGGTGGTGTGGATGTAGCAAGCAGTCAAAAGTATCCCTTGGGTTTGAAGAGACCAAATCCTTATTCCCCAGAGAATGAGGCAGCTGGTGGGGAGGGGCCGGGGGCTGTGGGACCGCAGAACTGAGGGGGCAGCTGGAGCGTGGTACAGCCACAGTCACCCTCAGGCAGCGTTTCTCAACCACCTCTACAAGGGATGCAAGCTTCGGAGAGACTTTTTAGGGGATTGTTTTATCAGTCCTTCCAAGGATGGTACGAAGCTAGTACCATGATGCCTTGGAGAGAGGTTGATGCCTGAGACGGAAGGGGTGCCTCGGGGCACTGGGCTTAAATGCCTCCACAACCCTGGCGAAGGAGAGATCCTGGCACAAAGCACCTGGGAAGGGTAAATCCTGGTGCCCGAGGGGCTTTGGGACAAAAGTCACCTAGCTGCAGAGGCTGATGAAAAGGCATGGGACAGTGATCACCAGGCAGTGCAGAATTGAGGTCAAATTCCAAGAAAGAACATTTGCAGTAATGGGCCAAAGAGGAAGCCCTTAGGCACTGGGCAAAAGATTTGGTTTTCTGTTTAGTATTTAACTGAGTAGTTCAACCCACGCAATGTGCCACACACACATACACACGCACACACACACACGCATGCACGCACGCACACACACACATGCATGCACGCACACACACATGCCATCAGTCCCAGCATTGAAGGCAAATGGCCAATAGGACAGCCGACTGCCTGTCTTCCATTCTGCTCTCTAGAAAACCAGCCCCGCACACAGACTGGAACTGTGCGGCTCCTGCAGCCTGCGTCCAGGAAACCGGCTGAGCTCCCTAATCCAAGGAGGTTACCGTTCCGTGCACATCCAGCAAGGCACCCACTCCCACGGAGCCAGCTAATGAAAGCCTCCTGTGTTGACTCAGGCTGCTCAGACACTCTGGCTAATTCGAGCTGGGCCTGTGCCGAAGGTATGACCTCACCGACGGGCAAACCCAGGAGCCCAGAAAGAGGAGATTGGTGTGTGGGCCGGACCTGCTCCGAGTCCTGGCCCGCTGGGCAGAGACAGCCCCTCTCCTGTAGCCTGAGGACCAGCGAGCAGGGCCCGGGGGGCCAGAGGCAGTCATCCTACAGCTGAGAATCCTCGGTTCTGGCCCAAGCACTCCCGGGTTGTTGTTTTTTTGGCATTCTCCCCATAAAAGTCTCTGCCATTCCACAAGGTGCATGCCAAAGAGAAGTTTAATTAGGTAGGGCCAAGTCTCTGTGGAGTCTCTTAGTTACAGAAGCTAGGAAGGAAGGATATAATTAGAATCTGATTTTTTTTATGAAACAGCTCAAAAGACCCCATTAAGAGAAGAACACTGAAAAACACCGTGCATATCTAGAACCTGGTACCCCAGAAAGGTCACTTATCAGCATCATTTACAAAACACTGAAGACCCCCATTCCAGCCTCAGATGGGGCACTTTGCCCGGCTCCTCCCACAGCGAAGCTTCACCGAATGCTGTCGGCGATCCTTGGCCCACAGCCGCACTCTTCCCATAGGTTGTGTAGTAGGTCTTTTGTGGGCCACACAACTTTCAAGCTGTGCTTCAAAAGTAAATAAAAGTGTTTTTACCTGATGTGGTCACCGTGAAATAGTTCACGACTTGGGCTTTTGTTAAAGGAACAAACAGAAATTATCTGCAAGATTTGCTTGTAAGCTCTGCCTTTGGGCATCAGGAGCCAAGTATGACAAGTTGCAAAAAAAAAAGGTGAAATTTGAAGTCTCTTAAATTGCATCCCATATGGAGCGTTTGCCTGAGTCCTAGTACGCCTCTTGAATAACCATCACGCAGATGCCCTGGGAGTCCAAGGCCTCATGGAATTAGGGAGGGTTTGCAATAACGTAAAAAGTCCCCATGAGCTGGAGGACAGTGAGTGAACATGCGAAGAACAAGGACTGACTTTGATGAAGACCCTTCCATCTCCTCAGAGTTACTCTCCAACTGGCCCCAGCTCGTTTTTTAATTAAATGTTGCTAATTCCATTTGTTTTTCGTCCAACTGACTAGGTTTTGTTATAACAGTTGTGGGGAAAATTGAAGCACAAAACCTCAAAGAACTTATATACTTATATGCATAGCCCATGGACACAGACAATAGTGTGGGGGAGGCCTGGCGGGGGGCGGGGGCGGGGCTGTGTGAAGGAGGGCAGATGGGAGGAAACAGGAGACATCTGTAACACTGTCAACAATGATATATATGTATATGTGTACATATACATATATATATGCACAAAACCTCCTTAGTTCCATATACAAATGTATCGATAAAATTTTTTATTATTTTAAAGAGAAAATTCTTTTTCAGGAAATGTCTCTCTAAAATAATGATGGGAGTCAATGGAAAAGAGATTTTGCTATACAATATGTGCTTTGCTCGAGCTTTGCAGAAAGACCTCCAAAATGCAAAGAAAGGTCACACGAAGCCTGCAAAGACAGGGTGATTCCCGATCACTCAAAGCTGTGAGGCCAGGCTGGGTCTGCGCACACAGCTGAACACCCTGGTTCGACCTCTCTGCCCTGGGCTGGAAAAGAAATGCCCGCAGCTGCGCTTGGAGGTCGGCGCTGCGGTTCCCTCACCACGTGCTCAGCCTTCCTGTCAACCTTCTCATTGGTCTGCGGGCCAAGCAAACGTCTCCCCGCCACGGCCTTGGTCCAGAAGACTTCCTGGCCCCTCCTCTGCTTTCTGTCACTTGGCCTATGCTTCACGCTCGTCCAAGTCCCAGCAGCCCACCACTCTGGACTCTGCTGCCTGGACTCAAGCTGCTCTTCAGAGGGGGTGAGTGTGTGTGTTTAAATAAACTAGTAAATAAGAAGGCTCCTTCCCGGGCCTTCCTCCAGGGCAGGATGTGGGTGTCAGGAGGGCCACAGCCGGTTTGGGACAGACCTTCAGGGTTTCAGAGTGGGAAAGGACATGAACGATATTCTAATGTGGTCGTTTCTCAGCATTTTCAGAGCACAGTGCAACTCTTTCCCCCGGTACGTAACACAGAGAGAAAGGAAGCCGTTATAGCCGCACAATAAAATGCGATGGGGCCATAACATAAGTACTGTCATGCGCTACAGTGTGGATGGACCTTGCAGAGGTCGTGTGAAGGAGAGAAGCCAGACACCGAGGACACAGGTGGCACAGGTCCATCTGTGTGCGATGTCTGAAGAGGCAAAGCCATCCAGGTAGAAAGGACTGGCGGCTGCCTAAGGCTCAGGGGCGCTGGCAGGTTGGGAGGGGCTGGCTAAGAGGTGCGGGGCTTCCTTCCGGAGTGGTGAAATGTTCTAAAATTGATTACAGTACTGGTTGCACAGATCTGTGGATTGTACAGGTAAAATGCGTGAATTTGGTGGTGTGTGAATTCTGTCTCCCTAAAGCTGTTTAAAAACAAAAACCTGTTCTCACTGCTCTGCCAACCAGCCCTCTCTCACCCTGCTCCCTCTAGTGGCCCCAGGACCACCTCTGCAGGTCCCTAGAGCTGTGTGGAATGATCTAGCCCAAGTTTCTACTCCTCAAATGTTAACCAAGTCCTTTGACTCCAAGTGCAGGGCCCTTTAAACCAAAAGTCTCGCCGCTGAGTCGAGGCTCATCTCGGGGACAGGCCGCCGGCCTGGGTCTCACCGTCCATGTCCAGGCGCTGCATGATGATGGCCAGCTCCACCTCGCTCGGCATGTACCCCAGAGAGCGCATGGCCATTCCCAGCTCCTGCTTGGAGATGAAGCCATTCCCGTCTCGGTCCAGAACCCGGAAGGCCTCTCGGATTTCTACAAGGAGAGAGCAAAGAAAGTCCAGTGGTCACGTGACTTGGTCTACGGCATGGCAATTATCAGTGATCTGTCTACTGAAAACTCCGAACTGCTTTACAGATCGGCATAGGTCAAAACCCTTCGAGTCAATAAAAGAGTGGCCACAAATGGGGAAGAAAGAAAAGAGACAAATGAAAGAAAGAAAGGAGGAGAGACAAGGGGAGGGGAGAGAAAAAAACCTTTGGAAGGAGGAGGAAACGGGCCCTGAGCATCCTAAAGTACAGTAGTGGGTGCACAGCTAGACAGCGGTCCCAGCAGAGACCATGCCAACCAAGGACCCTGCCTGAGCAACGGTGAAGATTGGGTTTCGTCCCGGAGAGGAAAGGCTCCCCTGTAACCTTGGCCAGCAGGAGGAGAGGAGCACGAGATTCCGACACCGACTTCCATTTCGGCTCCCTGCTGTGGCAGGGGCTGTGCAGAAAGGTTTTCAACCTCATCGTCGCTCAGGAGTTAAGTATCCTGCTGTTTTCATTTCATTCCTGTAATTTAGCTTTTTTTATGGCTATAAACAACTTCAGGTCGATCAGAGTGTCATAAAAGCCCCAAAGACATCTTTAGGCACGTTCCCTGGGGCTGGCGGAGAATTTGACTCTGCTGTTAGTAAGACCGTTTCACTGGGCAGGGGGTCTCCATCCTCTTACCCCAGCTGCAGGTGCTCTGCTTTCCACCCAGAGGCACCCGCCTGGGGCTGGCTGAGCATTTCGTCACCCCCCTGCGAGGCTTGACCTGGTGCGTTCGAGATCACAATCTGAAGATGAGTTTCGTCCGTCCATTGTATCTGAGCACCGGACTTGGCAAGCTTTGAGGTTTCATCAATACGCCTGGTGCACGTCCAGGTATGGCAGCTGCCAACTTCGTCATGCCATTCAGTAAGTCCTGGCTGCCTGGCCCTGACAGCCCCGTGGTGATGACCGCGGAGAAACGACATCGTGGGTCTCCCTCGGAGCCCTGCGCCGCCGTCAGGAACGTAAGAGCCACACAGAAATGTGCAGGGACTCTTACAACGAGCACCAGATGCTTGGCCCTGATCCACTGAGTCACCACTTTTCTAAATATCAGTCTAGCTCCCAGCAAATACCTTGAACCACACTCTCTCCCAAGCAGGCTTTGCCCTCCCCTCTTGAAGTCAATTTCCATGGCTGCTGCACACCACCACAGACTTGGTGCTTCGAACAACAGAAGTGTATTCTCTGACAGTCTGCAGGCCAGAAGTCTGAAATCAGTATCATTGGGCCAAAGTCAAGGTGTGGACAGGGACACTGGAGCCCCTGGGGAGGAATTGGTTCTTGCCTCCTTCCAGCGTCCAGTGGCTGCCAGTATCCCTTGCCTTGTGGCCCCATCACTCTGGTCTCTGCCTCGGTGGCTACACTGACTTCTCCTCTTCTGTCTGTGATCTCTCTCTGCCTCCCTCTTACAAGGACCTTTGTGTTTGCATTTGGGGACGACCCAGACAGTCCAGGAATATCTCCCCATCTCAAGATCCTTAACTTAATTACACCTGCAAAAACCTTCTTCCCAAAGTAACATTTACAGGTTCCAGAGACGAGCACCTGGTACGTTGGGGGCTGTTTTTCAGACTCCTGCACTGTCCCATCTAGTTCTTTCACCCGACATGCCCTGCCTTCTTCTTCACCTGAGCAAATCAAATTAGTCCTTCGAGGCCAAGTCAGGGGCTGTGGAACCCACAAAAACATATTTGCTCACCACAGCCACAGTCCCCTCCCTTTCTGCCAACCATTCAGCAGGTCATTCATTCCTTTCACGTGACATGTAGCAGGACCCGTCTAGAAGTAAGATGACTGGCACAGAAACCAGGGCTGCTCCTCTGAGCTGTAAGCTCCTGGGACACTTCATCTTGGTGCCTTCCCACCCACGTTCAGGAGGAGGCGCTAGACAGGCAGCTGTGCCATGGATGGTGGGTCTGAATAAGTAAGATCGTATGTTGGTAGCGAATTCATCATCAGTACTAATTCAGGACGCTGAGTGCTCCCTATGAATAAACGTGGGCTCCAGCAGAGACAAGACCAGCCAGTGAGCCAGGACCCTCGGCTCCCGGCCAGGCGCATTAGCTAATTAAGTCTGCAGCCAAACCTTGAGACCTCGGTTTGCTCATGTGTAAAATGAGCTGGTTAGCTGCGAGGATCCCCGAGGTCCTTCCAGCCCTCCTTCTGTAGATCCGTGGACGTCGTTCAAGTGTTGAAGAGAAGAACAGGAAGCCTGTGTTCTCTTTCATACCCTATTAATCTGTTGTGCAAACGCCTCTTTTTTCCATCGACGATATAGAAAAATTTTTTAGTCCACTCCAAATTCTGAATCAAGGGGTTTGTCTGCAGTTTTAGGCTTTCTCATCAACAAAACATGCCCAAGATTACTTAACATGGCCATATGTTTTCCTACCAGGTCCCTGATGGGCTGCGAAGAGCTCGGAGCTGCTGCCCAGCTGGAGATCATGGCCCACAGCGCTCAAGGACGCTGCGGCAGACCACAGCCTCACCTGAGCCCAGGTCCCCAGACACCCAGGTCAGGAAGATCCCGAGACGAGTGTCCCGAGGTGGGAGTCAGCACGAGGAAGCCATCCGGCTCTGCCCTGCTAACTGGGACCGTCTTCTCCCTCAGGCTTGATTTCCCATCGGAAAGAGGTTGGGCTGGGTCTCCTTTCAGCTTCTGTAGCAGGTTTTACGTGGGGCTGGCACATACTGTGCGGCAGTAGGAAATGTCAGATGACGGCCGGGGCTCCACCTGGCGTCACAGAAGGGGCCAGGGTCCCAGATGGGCCAGGGGAGGGTCAGCTGCAGGCAGAGCCCTGCCCCGCGCTTCCCAAGACACCATCCGCATCCCATCCCTCTGACTCCAGCCTGCACTCTGGGCTGTGGTTACCACTCTGAAAGGGGACCCTTCTGTTGACAGGAACGGGCCTCATTCCTATGATGCCACCGCATGCCCTAGATCTTACCGCCAGATGAGCTGGGTCCTTACACCGGATATCCCAAGGGGCCTGGTGGAGGGTGTCTGAGAACTCGGCCTGGAAGTGAAGGCCTTGGCCTGCGTGCTGCTGGTCCCCACCCAGCTGCTTGGGCTACTCCCAGAGTTGCCTCCCCTGAGGCTACTGGCTCTGGTAAGGCAGACTGAAGATGTGGCCACCCTGACATTGCCCTGCCGTGAAGGAACCTGCTCCTTCAAGGCCTCGAAACCCCACGGTGTGGTGTGTCCCATCTGCAGTTTGTGGCCAGCAGGCCCTGCCCAGCCCAGGCCAGGCCAGACCGGCTATAGCAGCTCAGAGTTTTGTTTTCTGTGGCCCCCAGGTAAGTGGACAAAGCTTTCTTCCTCCGTTTGCATAGAATATCTGCTCCAGGCCCTGGCCCATTTGCTCAGTGGTTAGAGTGTCAGCCCGTGAACCAGAGAGACCCGGGTTTGGTTCCCACTAAGGGCACGAATCTCAGTTGAAGTTTGTCCCCAGCCCCAGTTGGGGTCATGTGGGTGGCAGCCAGTCAATCAGTCTCTCTCACATCGATGTTTCTCTCTCTCTCTTCCTCCCTCTCTCCCTCCCGCTCTATCTGAAGATAAATGCAAGAATGTCCTCCAGTGAGGATTAAAAAAAAAAAAGAAAGAAAGAAAAGAATATCTGCTCCTGGCTCCCAGGATAAAACTCACTAACTTCATTTCTTTCAAAATATCAGAGTCCCCAAAAAAGGACCAAACTAGAAATCCGTAACGAGAGCCTCTGGAGAGTTCGTTTGGGAAAGCGAGCCAAATGAGAAGCTTATTAGGAGGAAATGGGTCCTGCAGTCCGAGACATGTGATGTGTGCCTCGTTTTATTTTTAATAGCGAACAGGGTGTGAGAAATATGCCCATAAAACCAGTGGAGACACGAGAGCAGGCCAGGTCCCGCCGCCTCTGGCTACAGTCGGCCCGCTCGGCACGCAGGGGCTCTGGCCACGGTCCACGTCCTTGGGAAGTGGGAACCACGAATCAGGTTTTCAGGAACAACCCAGTCATGTGGTGCTTTCCACTGGAATAGACCCCCTCTTTGGGCTAACGTCCCTGGCGCTTCGGAGTTACGTAAGCGTGCTGTGCGTTTGGTTTCTAATTCCATTTCGGTCCCCACAACACATGCACCACGGGCTCCGGGACAGCAACCCCACCGGTCCCCGAGGTGCCTCAGTGGACCCCGAACGGGAGTCTGCGATGGTGATCGGAGCCTGCCCAACAGTCACCGTGTGAAAGGAAACACGTGAAGACACGTGTGAAGGGAGAAGTCCATTCTCTGCACATGGAATCTCGCAGGACCCAAGTCTGCGTGCCCACGGGCACCTGTGCTTCTCCTCCCTGCGGTGATGCTCTCGTGTCCTGGAGCCACGCCAGTCCTGTGCTAGACACGGTCCTGGCTCGAGAGCCCAAGACAATGGCTTCTCATTAAACCAGCACGTCTATTTTCCTTTATCTTTTCTTAAAGAATGGTTTCTTGATTTTTGGAGAGAGAGAGAGGGGGAGAGAGAAACATCGATGTGGGAGCAAAACATGGTTCAGCTGCCTCCTGCACACCCCCTTGCCGGGACTGAGAATGCAACCTGGACTTGTACCCCGATAGGAATCCAACCTGTGACCTCTCGGTGCACAGGACGACACCCAACCAACTGAGCCACACCAGCCAGGGCTCAAGTCTATTTTCTTAAAGATCCACAGTCTCCACTGGCACCGCATGCCGCCTGACCCAGCACCCTCTGAGAGCCAGGCCTCGGTTCCGCAGCGCCCCCTAGCGACATAGCCAGCTGGAGCAGTAACAACGGCAAGGGCACACTTCATGCGGAACAGGCTCATCCATCAGGCCGCCCCAACACAGTGTGCAGCAGATGGAATCCAGGCCCCAGCCAGAGTCAATATTCACTGGCTAATGTCTGGCTTGGAAGACGCGGCTGAAATCCACAGTGCTAATGTGCAAATTCAGATCAGTAATGAA